ATATTTCACTATATGCACTATGAAATTCTCAGAACTAAAGAAAAAAAACTTGTCTTGCTAAAGCACTTGTTAGTATCATACTGACTAACATGAGCAGGAAATGGAACCGCTAAATATATAAGTATAAATTATATACTTTTCTCAAGCAAACAAAGAGCAAGCAAGACCTTTATAAGTCTCCAGACCTTCCATCCATATATATATAATGTATGGATAGGCGGATACCATGAAGTGAATACACGTTTCACCATATAGAAACCATCCTCCTTATTGGTTGCCCATCCCTTCCTACCCACTCACCTGCCTGTCCTCCATAGAACCTTAATCCTCATTTTTAACCACCTTATTTTACTTGATATCTTATCACTCAAGACTTTGAGCCCATCATGGAGGGAAGGAAAAGCAATTCAAAGGGGGAACTGATGTCTGGGAGGAGCTGGCTCAGTAGAGTTCGAGGACCTGAGTTTGGATCCTTCATGCTCACATAAAAAGCCAGATGGTCAAGTGAATGCCTGTAATCCAGTGCTGGCAGGCAGAGACGGGGCATCTACCATGATCTTTCTGAGCCTTCAGCGGGAAGAATGAAAACAGCCCTGAAAACACTATCATGAAAAACAGAATGAAATAGATGCTGTGTTGCTTGTTATACAATAGACTTCCAATAAATTTCACTTCCTTTCCTCTTTCCTTCCTTCCCTCTGAAAGTAGTTGGGACATAAATTATACATAAACAAATTACGTGTTTTGCTGAAAGTCCTCAGACATGATTAATGTAACCAATAATAGCGTTAATATTAATAGCGGGTTACTCCAACAGCGGCACCCTGACTGACAATCAATCTGTGCACCCCAGCCTTGTCGCCACAAGAAAGATAGCGCTCAGGGTTTACTCGGGGAACTGGGAAATGCACTGGCTTCCGCATTTTCCCATTTAAAAAAAAAATCCCCTTCTCACATTAGGGTCTTGTGGATAAGCTATTACTTACAGCACAAAGTGTAAGTGATATATTTGCCAAGAAATGACAAAACAGTGGCGTGATAGGAAACTATAAGAAGCTTCAAGTAATATCCGAGGCTGAAAGGTTTGGAACAATCAAAAACTGTGCCGGAATACAGATGTCTGCTGCTTCACTGCCTGTTGCCTTGTCTTTTCCTGGGAACTTATGAATGAAGGTTTGTTCACTCCAGATAGGCTGCAGCCACGGACCAAAGTAAAGATTGTGCCCAAGTCTAACCCTGCGAAGCAAGACGTCCACTGAGCTTACTCACAGAACTGAGACATCATCTGGAGGCATGTAGGCGGCCCCTAAAAAGCTTCACTAATGGAAAGCCCCACCCCAGCATGAGCGGTGACTTTCCCCACGCTGTAGATGAAATTTCCTCAGTCAACTTTCTGCCTCTTACAGACCTCCCTAGTCCACAGAGCACAAAAGGGAGGGAATGGCTAGAATCTTAGGATAGGGTTTTAAGACCCTTCCTTAACCCCTCCTTCTATAAGGGAAGAGAAGATAAACAGGCCTGATCTTGTCTTTTGTAGGTAGTCAAAGGCTCTCTGGAGAAGATGGTAATGGCTGATTTGTTTGGAGGGCAGTGTCCCAAAGAACAGATAGGACCTTAATGGGGGGTGTGGTGGTTCGAATAAAAATGGCCCCCACAGATTCATAGGGAACGGGACTATTAGGAGGTGTGGCCTTGGTGAAGTAGGTGTGGCCTTGTTGGAGGAAGCATATCACTCAGGGGTGGGCTTTGAGGTCTCAGAAGCTCAGGCTAGTGGCTCACTGTGCCCTCCTGATGCCTACAGATCAAGCTGTAGAACTCTCAGCTCTTTTTCCAGCACCGTGTCTGCCTTCATGCCACTATGCTTCCTGCTATGATGATAGACTAAACTTCTGAACTGTAAGCCAGCCTCAATGAAATGTTTTCTCCCATAAGAGTTGCCATGATCATGGTGTCCTTTCACAGCAATTGAAGCTCTAACTACAACAGGGGTTATATCATCTCCCCTATAGAAAAAACAAACCAAAGCAAGGGACTTAAAAGAAATACCAAGAAGATTTTGAACCCAACTTCAGCCTATCTGTTAAGATCTCTAAACACCACTTTTACAACTTAATTAGAATGGGTAAAATTGCTTTAAACCTTCAAGCTCTTGGCCCCCATGAGCTTATGTTTTGGTATCTCTTGAAAATTAGAAGAAGAGCAAACAGGTTAGCTTTGAGGATGGGGTCTGGAGCCAGGCTGCCTGGACTGGAATTTCTGTTCTTCTATTTGCTAAATGTTGCCCAGAGGAAGCTGCTTCACTTATGTGTGCCTCTGTTCTCAACTAGAAAGCAGGGCTCACAATAAAGATAAGGAAAGGTCTTCAAGGCCTATGGTCCTGTTCTTGGCAGGCAATAGGCAGAGACACCAGGTAGCCATTTCCTTGTCCCTGATTAACTGGAACTCATGAGGAAATTCCTCCTGGCCTGGGGCTAGAGCAGATTCTCAGAGTACCAGGTACTGGGTCATATCTCATCTTTGTTGACCGAATTGTGTTCATTCCTAAGGTCCAGTGAGATCTAGCTTTATTCAGGCCCAAACTCAAATTTCACATACTCGATTCTTTAGAAAGCCTGTGTTTGCTGCCTTCATGCTCTCATGTCAGCATGTGTCAATTTCTCTTTTTATCAAACTGGGTGCAAGGACCTGTTCACTCACAAGATGGAGGCTCAGTGAGCAATTTGAGATCACTGAGTGGGGGTGAGGGTGCGGGTAGGGTGGGGTGGGATGAGGGTAGGGATGCTACCTGACTTTCACAGCAAGGTGTGGCCCATGTATTTTGACACTGATACAGTGGGCTAAGGGAAGAGGAAACCAGAAGAGGGGAATGGCATGTGGGATCTTGTGAAGTGCCAAGCACAGTACCAGGGTTCAAACAGCTATTAGTCCTGAAGCTAATGCTGTCAGCCTTCGTTTTAAAGACAAAGAGCATCTCAGAGGGACTTGTGGACCCTCTCAAGGCCAACCATTAATGAGCAAACTGTGTTTAGCATCTGTTTCATATCTCAATTAATGGGATTACCTATAATTCCAAGCATAATTCTTTTTGTCCTTACTGTTTATTTAATCTGTATTTTTATCATTTATAATTTCTAATATAATGCAAATGATAGATAAATACAATATTGAATAAATAACACCCCAAACATGCAGATGTAATCCTGTTCCTCCCTGTTTCCCTGACCTCCTTCCCACTGTATTCTTCTGCCCGTATAATTTCCTCTTGTCCTGTTGTTTTCCCTACGTTCTTCTGGCCTCACTGCTGACAGAATGTTTATCATCAAGAAATGAATGAGTGGGGCTAGTGAGATGATTCTGTGCTTAAAAGCACTTGCTTTCACAGAGGACTTGGTTTTGGTTTCCAGCACCCATGCCGTGGCTTACAAAGTTCTATGACTCCAGTTCCAGGAGATTAAAAACCCCTCTTCTGGCTTGGCAGGCATTTTAGACGTGTCCTGCATGTAAATACATGGAGGGAAAAAATACACAGAAATGGTTAATTCCTTTAAATTGTATGTAACATATCTCAGTAAATTCTTTCCCCTCTGCCCACTCCCCCCAGATCTTGCCATCCCTACTCACCCAATATCAAATTCTTTCTCTCTCAAACACAAAAGCAGCCTATATGTTCACCAACAGGAACTGATAATGAAGTGGGGCACATATATATGGTGGAATTTTATTCAGTTGTAAAGCAAAAATAAGTTATGAAATCCATAGGAAAATGGATACAACTAGAAAACATTGTATTGGTAACCCAGGCTTAGAAAGAAAAATACCACCTCCTTGCTCATATACAGATCCTAGCTTCTAAATGCTAACTACGGTTAGCGACAGGAGCAAGCATAGGAAGAGGCCAAGAAATTTAAAAGGACCCCAAGGGACGGAAAAGGGGGCCAAGCCTCACTCTTCTCTCTTGAGAAACCCTGCAGCTTGCTTGCTTACCCACCCTTCCGCCCTTTGGGGCTGTCCTGCCGCCAGCAGGGGGAGCCCTTCCGTTGGGCGCAGGGTGAAGTGGGAAGCCCAAAGTCCCCTGGGGTCCAGAGCTTTCTCTGTGGCGTATAATAACAGTAATAATAATAATTTGGTTTGATGCCATTCCAAGTTAGTGAGGTTGAAGCCAGCCTGGGGGTGAGACCCTGCGTCAAACAATAAATAAATACATAAATAAATGAATGCATAAACAGAACTTTAGTCCAAAAGAGCAAGAACACTCAGCAGGCTGCATATAAATCAGGGCACCTCCAATTTCCACGACAGCTATGAGACACCCCCTCTCCTCTCCCCGCAAATCTAGGAACTGAAGTTTGGCTTTCCAGCCAGGACCAGCTCTGTGCGGAAACAGCCAAGAAATCCGAACCCGAAGTCATCTTCAAGTCCGCCAGAGCCGCTTTCTTTCAGCACCCTACCGGTCACTCTAGGCTAGTTAAGACCATCTCTCTGAGCCCCAGGTCCTCTCCTGCTAAAATGAGCACAGCAGAACTTCCCGGGCTACTTGTAAGGGTTAAAGGGAGCCATGCATTCAAACACCATGACCGTGCCTGTCTTAAAACAGGTGTAGGTATTTTAACTTCCTCTCACCCCTCATTAAACGCACATGTCTGCTTTCTTTTCTCTGGCCCTGAGCAGCTTTTCCGAAATTAAGTAGCCATCAGCAGGGGCGGAGCTGGAAGAGGGTGTCACTAAAGGAGCTTTTTAGTGTCCCGGAGCTTTTCCTTCTAACTTCAGAGACAAGATGTGCTCACATGCCCGGCTCCCAGCAACTCCCCCGGGCGGGATGTCATGGGAGAGGACCCAACGCAGGCACAAAGTGAACCCCTTGCAGGGGGGAGTGGTGGGAGTCCCGGAGCCTTGGGAGCTTCAGCCTTCAGCCCACACTCCGCCCCCTACACCCCCCCCCCCCAGGGAGTAGGTCCCTCTAGGAGGATGGAGGCCCGCCCGGCTCCCAGCCCCGAGGAAGGGAGGAGCCACAGCACAGGTGGAGCAGGTGAGGAGCCTAGGCTCCCGCGTGTCCGGGAGGAGGGGAAGTGATTGCAAGCTGGCGAACGGAGGTTAGAGCACTGTTGGCCCCAGGATCCAGCTCTGGAAAGCTGGGATTGGGGTGCTGCCTCGGAGGACCACCATGGAAGAGGTAAGCCCCCACACCTCCGCTTCGGTATGGGCTGTCTGGGTGCCACCTCGCGGACTTAAGTTCCTTCCGAAGGAGGGAGCCCTGGAGAAAGAGCTGCCTGTTTGTCCGGGCTGCTGGGTCCGGAACAAACATGCTAGGTGTCCCGCTATGAACCTGGCCTGCTGGCCTTGCTTGGGCAGCCTGCGTCCTGCCCCTCTACAGCCCCCGGGGCGCGCTCTGCAACCCAGGCCACAGTTCAAGTGTTTGTCTCTTCATTGTTGACTTTCCCTCTCTGTCTGACCTTTGCGCTGGCAGCTGGGTGTCCAGGTCCAAGGACAGAGGGTGACTCTGGGAAGAGGTGGCCTCGTGGTGTGCCCGTGGCTTTACATCGCCGTTCCCTATTAACTCTGTGGGCCGGGGCAAAAGTGCTTATGCCCTTGAGCCCTTAAGCACTGACTAGGGTTCTCACTTCTGAAACAGGATTACACCAACTTGTGAGACTGGAGTTGCATGAAAAACTAGAGCCCAGGCTCGTGGTGGTGGTACCCCAAAAGCAGAGGCAGGAGAATTGAAAGGCTAGAGCCAGTCTGAGCCCCACAGGGAGACGCTGGAGGTTTTTGTTGCTGACAAAAGCAACAAAAGTTTTGAATGGCTAACCTTGTCTTCCCTTTCCCTCCCCTCATCCTTGCCTTGCTGTTCTCTCTGTTAGTGGCTTGCTTTTCACAGATGGATACGTGCTTGTAGTACTGTGTCTCTATTAGGTATTTGGAAGCAAATCATTTACTCCTGAAATTGTGCCGCTCCCCACCCAGATGTTCCGTTTACAATGGTGGATCCATTCAGCTGGGGCTCGGCAAGGACGGCTCTGGAGTGTTAAAGGGACAGCTGTGTCCCTTTAACTCACTCCATCTGGTCAGCTGAGTCTTGGAAAAGGGGAGGCAAGGAAGCCAATTCCATCCCCTGGAGAAGTCCTTCTACTGTCCCACCTGCAACACTATGGTGTTTAGAAACTTATTCTTTTTTTTTTTTTTTTTTTTTTTTTTGGAGGGGGGTGGAAGGAGCTTTTTATGGTAGAAAAGGTCTAACTTTATAGCACAGGCTGGCCTCAGACTCTCAGATGCTTGGATTACTGGCATGTTGGGCTCTATTCATCAATTTTGGGGACCCTCTTCCATGATGGCAACTTGCCAGGCTGAATCTACCTGTGAGGGCTCAGCAAAAGGAAAGTGAACTTACATTCTGCCCTCTCTGGCTAGCCAGGATCTGAACTGTCCACCACTATTTCTGCTTGTCACCCTGATGGGACAGAGGCCTAGAGGTCATTGACCCCGGGTTTTTTAGGTGAAGCAGCTGAAAGACAGAACATCACTGCTACACAGTATGACACTGCCAGTCAGAAGCAGGGCTAGGGCCTACGCTCAGGCTGGTGAATCACTGGTGGTTAGGGTTAGGGTTTAGTTTGGAAACTAAATGGCCAGAAGTGTGAGAACAGTAGATAGATTACCCAGTAGAGGGATGGTGCAGGGATCTAAGCAGGAAGTAGAGTGGCTCCAGCCAGTCTTAGCAGGGATGGTGGTTAGTGTCAGATTCCTGGTCTCTGACTTTGGATGACCGAACTAATGGTGTTTCGGCTTTATGATGCACAGAAGTGATGCTCACTTGGTAAAAACTACTTTGAGCTGTGAATTTTTTGATCTCTTCCTGGGTTAGCCCTGTGTGGTACTAGACAGGTAAATGAATATTCTATCTGTTCTCTGTTGCTAAGCAATGGGTTTTAGTAGGTTGGGTGTATTAACTGCATTTTTACCTTAGGATATGGCATGTTCACCATACCATGGGATGATTGTGCCATTATCCTGTGGTAAGTCAAGGTGCATCTGTATATTAAAGGTAGAGTCAACATGATATACTGAGTAGAAAAGGGAGGAAGGAAGAGGAGGGTTGATGACCCAAAGGCATGAAGGCTGAATTGCAGGAGGATAGAGCCAGCGTCTTCAGAGAAGGCTCAATACTGAGCAGTTTAGAAGGGGACCAGGAGACAGTTTTAGACATGGAATCATTGAAGGGCTAATTATACAGAGGAATAACCACCTTCAGAGTTCAAGGGAGAGGTTGAAGCAGGAGAATAAGCGGAAGAAGATCTATCTATGTTAGAAAAGTGTTGACACACATAGGTGTTTCAGACCGCATGGTGTTAATACTGACCTCACATTCTCCAACATTCTCAAGAGGCGAAAGCATGCTCCCTGTACAGAATCTGGGCCCAACTGCAGGCTGCCTTGAACATCACAGGTTGCCACGCTTGGCACTGTGGGACTTCACAGACTCCCAAGAAGCCATGCTGTTCCCACCTTCTTTTGAGAGCTGGTTCTTGCAGCCCTGAGCCAGATCAGCAGCCTTCTCCCCACAGTTTTCATGCTGAACATAACCTCATGTGGACCCTGACTGACAGTTCGGGCTGAGCCTAGCTTGCTAGCCTTCCCTCAGTGTTACCCCTCAGAGCCCCGCAGACCCCACCAGCACCAGGCAGACACCTTAGAATGGCTCTCATCCACATCCTGTGGATGGAAAACTCACTCACCTGGACCATGTTAATACTCCCCCTTCTACACAACTGGAAGATGCAGAAGGTGGGGTTCCTGTTTGTTTTAGGCCACTCAAGTTTCAGTTGTTTGGTCCTGTGTTAGTAGGTATTAAAAGAAATGGGCATTTTTAGTTCTTTTCAGTTATTAAAAGAAAAGTTATTTTTATCTGGCCATGGTGGTACACACCTGTAATCCTAGCATTTGGGAAGCCGAGGCAGGAAGACTAAATTCGAGACCCGCCTGTAATATATAGTGAGATTCTGTTCTTTAAAAAGAAGTTAGGACTGAACTGGTGCCACACACCTTTAATCTCAACACTCTGGAGGCAGAGAATACAGATCTCCGAGCTCAAGGCCAGCCTTATCTACATAGCAGTTCCAGACCATTCAAGCTTACACAGTGATACCCTGCCCCAAACAAACAACAACAAAAAAGTATTCTTTCTTATATAAATATATGGTTTGGGGGAATTCTAGAGGAGTATGTTTTGAGCTGGCTCACTTGGTAAAGTTCTTGCCACGCAAGCATTGAGAGCCTACATTCAATCCACAGCATGTCAAAATGCTAGGTATTGTCGTATATACCTATAATTCCCAAACTGAAAAGGGAGAGACTGGAGGATCCCAGGGGATTTGATGGACAATAGTCTGGCAGAATCAGTGAGCTCCAGGCTCAGTGAGAGAGCCTCAAGAACAACAAAGTGGGCAGCTCCTCGGGAATCACAGCCGAGGCTGACCTTTGGTCTCCACGTGCATATGTTTGTCTGTACGTATACACACAAATACGTACCTACCCTACATCTCATGCACACACATTCATGAAGGGGGCTGCTTTATTGAGCCTCCTACTGACAGGATGCTAAGTTCTCTTTCAAACTCAGAGTTAAGTGGTAGCCCACTCCGCGCCATTAGTCAGGTGTTTTCAGTTGTGTCCAGTCTTGGCAAGAGAGAGTTTGTAGCACTTTTTGAGCTCACCAGTCAAGGAGTCACCAAGCAGGCTTGACTGTTTTTGATGGATGAGCTTGAACCACATTATGAATCAAGCCACAGTGAAGCTCACCATTGCCCAGTGATTTGAGCAAGTGCTGGAACTGGGAAATTTCTCAAAGTCCAATCAGTATAACAACTCACAATTTACAAAGAAAACTGAGTGCCAGGGGCAGAAAATTGACAAAAGTTTTCTGACTACCCATCCAGTGTCTATACTTTGGATGTCCTGTAAATGTTCTTATATGGGTTGAGTTGGAAAGATCCATTCCTTAGACCCAGCTCTCATCATCTTGTGGTCATGGAGCAGGCATCTTCCATGTTCCAGGCCCCACATTAGCATCTGAGAGAGACCTGTTTTACAGTGTCATTTACTTGCTTAGCATTTCAGATGAGTGTCAAAGAAAATAAATGATGTAAAGTAGAATGATGACCATCACCCACCCGGAGACTCATTTCAGGAGCTGCTGTCTGAGCTGGTTGTCAGAGGAATGGGTAGCAATGTAGCAGAGGAAGAGGAGAGGGAGAAGAGTGGGGCGGGATGGAGAGCAGTAGCTCAGAGGGACACAGCGTGGTAGCGTGAGTCAGGACACATTCTTGAAGCTAAGTGTTAATGGGGTAGGATTTTTTTTTTTATGAAAATAAGTAGCCAAAATGGAATCCTAAGCTCTAGATAGACCTAGAGTTAAAAGGCCTTTTCCGATGCACGTGTTTTATTCTGAGAACTGAAGGAGCCACTGGGTGGGGTTGGGGGCAGGTTGCTTTTTCTCTGAGACCCTGTGGTGGTCCTGAGGCAGTAAGATATTACCAAGATCACATTTGCCTGATGTGGATAGAATCTAGGCCCTAATGCCTATGAAACATGGCTTAGTAAAGCTTCAAGAGAAATGTTTGTTTGGTTTTTTTTGTTTTGTTTTGTTTATTTATTTAAGTCTCAATAATCTGATGTTTAAGGAAAAGGTCCTAAGGAAGCATCTATTAATTAAATAATGGACGTGCCAGCTGTTTCCTGTCTGTATACCTCTCCAGTCCACAAGGATTAATTCCTGGGGATCCCAGCAACGACAGCCTCTGGCTGGTGAGCTTGTCTGCAGAAAGAAGAAACAGCTGCGATTAAGAGGTTGTCATCAAAGCAGAGTTTTAGTGGTGCATACTTGTAATCCCAGTACACAGAAGGCTGAGGCAGGAGGACTCCTGTGAGTTCCAGGCTAGTCTGGGTGATGGGTAAGACCTTGTCTTAAAAAAAAGAAGTTTACCCAATAAGTCACTGAATAAAAGGCTGCGCAGCTCACATCTGTCACATCTGTCTTGGCTAGGAGGCTATGGGAAGCATCCTCTTGGACTATGTTGTTTGGTCCTTTTTAGTGAGACAGGAAATGACGAAGGTCATTTCCCATTCATCCCTTATAGTGATCCCCACCCTCATCCAATCATCACTTCAAAGGGAAGA